GGCCTTCAATGAGATGGATTGATACAGTGGCTGCGATGATGGGATCAAGTATAGCAGGGATTGTGGGGCTAGTGCGGGATTGGGCAGTGTTTCGTTCTGCTGTGCATGGGGTCGCTATGACTCGGAAATGACTCGATGGCACTTAACAACAACAACAACAATATCTTCTTGTTCAATTGATCCTTTAATCATCATCAAATGTCCTTCCTTATGGTTGTTTTTGTTTTAAAGTCAATTTGATCAGAAATTAATGTTGCCACTCCTGGTCTTTTATGGTTTCCATTTGCTTGATATAACTTTTTCCAACCTTTGGTTTTTCGTCTATTTTTGTCTTTGTCTCTAAGGTGTGTCTCTTGTAGACAGCATATTGATGGGTTATATTTTCTTATCCAGTCTGCAATTCTCTGTCTCTTGAGTGGTGCATTTAATCTATCAACATTCAGTGTAATTATCGACAAGTATGAATTGGTTGCTGTCATTTTGTTATGTGTTTTTTTGTGATGTTCCTGGTTTCTTTGTTCCATATAATTTTCTGTTCTGAGCTCATTATATTTATTAATCATGTCATCATTTTCTTAGTTGCTGTTGTTTTAGTATTTGTTAAATATTTGTGCTTGTCCTCTGTTTTATTGTGATATGAAGGTTTATCATTTTCTTTGAGGTTACTTTTGATTTATAACTTTTTCCCCAAGTTTAGAACAGTCCATTCTATCTTGTAACTCTCTTGACTTCCTCACCTTTTAGAAGTTATGTAACTACACTATTATTTCCCTCTTTTTGAAGGTAGTATTTCTCATTTGCCAATTGATGTCTCTGGTTCCCTGTTTATAATCTTGTAAGCTTACTTTACTTTAGGTACTTCCATAGCTGTGTTGGTTTCTGCGTTATGTTATCTTGTGTATTAATGGTCAGTTATTTCGTATTGTTGGTATTGGTTCTCTGTCCAATTGTTTGATATTATTAGCATCTCTTGTAAGGTTGGTCTGGTTTTAACAAATTCTCTTAATTTCTGCTTATCTGGAAATCTCCTAATTTCATGATCATATTTGAGGAACAATTTTTCTGGATACATAATTCTTGGCTGAATATTTTTCTCTTTCGGAGTTTTATATATACCATCCAATTGCCTTCTTGCCTGCATGGTTTCTGCTGCAAAATCAGAGCTTAGTCTTATTGGTTGCCCTTTGTAGGTAACTTTTTGTTTTTCCTATGCTGCTTTCAGGATTCTTTCTTTCTTTCTGTTCTGAGTTTGATGATGATATGTCTTGGTGATTTTCTTTTAGGGTCTATCTTTTTGGTGTTTATTAGACTTCCTGAATGGATATATTCTCATCTTTCATCATGTCAGAGAAGTTCTCTTCCAACAAATCTGGGACAATTTTCTCAGTGGTTTTGTTTTTCTCTTCCTGTTCTGGTATTCCAGTGACATGCAAGATATTCCTTTTGATGGTATCACACATGAATTTTAGGCTTTCTTCATTTTGTTTTGATCTTTTTATTCTGATTGATTCCTTTCCAAAGAAGTATTCAAATTTTTGTCTTCAATCTTATTAATTGTGCCTTCCATTGATTCGAGTCTACTCCTCTGCCTTTTCAATGTGTTATCTATTTCTGAAAACTTAATATTGATCTTCTGGATTTCCATCTGTAGGTTTTGCATCATTTCTAATTTTTCTTTTTTTTTTTTTTTTTTTGTCATTTTGTTCTTGTATTTTCTTCTGAAAATGTTCTAGGGTTTTGTCTGTGTTTTCCTTAATTTTGTTAGTTTTCCTTGATCTGTCTTTCAATCCGCTGAAGGTACCTCAGCATAATTCTAGGAGCTTTGGTAGTGTAGTGGTAAAGCACTTAACTGCTAACCAGAAGGGTAGTGGTTCAAACCCACCAGCCACTCCTCGGAAGGAAGGTTGCACATTCTACTTCCATAATGATACTGCCTTGGAAACCCAAGTAGGGGTCTCTATGAGTCAGATATGACTTGACAACACATAACAACAACAATAAGTATAATTCTTTTGAATTCCTTATCAGGGAGATCCAATGCTACTTTGTCATCAGGGATGTGTTCTGGATCTGTATCCTGCTCCCTTTTTCTACCACTTCATCTTTCTTCTTTGTATGGACTGTGATGGTCTATTTTCTCCAAGACATTGTGACTTTGTTGTATTTATATTTAATTGGTGATTGTATGCTAGAGTGTTTCACTCAAGTTTCTCGTATTTTTTTTTAATATATCTCAGTAAGCAGTGTACTGAGTTCCTCTGTTCACTATTGGCAGCACTTATGCAATCACCACCTGTGTTCTGGTGATTGTGATAGAGAGTAAGAGTGGCTGCACAGATCTCTGTTACCTGTTTGTGAAAAGCAGGGTGAATCTGGCTCTTCTTGGTGGTCATTTATCATTGGCCAGCTGGTGTAGAAGGAACTGGTGGTTCTCAGTAAATGGAGCTGCTGGAGATGCAAGTGTGTTTGCATCATATGGATACAGTTGCTGTCTCCCACTCAGTTAGACAAAAACAACTATGGAAAACCAGCAAAAAATCAAAAGCAAGCAGATTAAAAATACCCTGCATAAACACACAGGAACAATCACCAAAAAGAGTAGGGGAAAAAAAAGAGGAAAGACAATAAATGAGAGAAAATATTTAAAGAAATACTTTAAAAAGCCAAAAAAGGTATGAATAGAAAAGGCGGGGGGCAGGGGGAATGCAATATCTGGTTAGGAGACAATAAGAGAAAAGAGGTAGAGTAAGAGAATAATGAAGAATAAAATGAGAAAAATGCAGAAAGAAAAATAATAAATCAGAAGAGCCATGAGAAAGAAAAAAATAGACACCAGGAATAGGGAAGAAATAAAAAGCTGAAAAATAGAATGTGGGAAGGGAATAAGAAAGAATTAAAAAAAAAATGAAAAAAAAATAAAATAGATTTAAACAGACAAAAAAAAAAAATCTGGACAGAGCAGGGCAGGACACTCAGGCTCTATCATAGAACACAAACTAGGATGGAATTCCTGCCAGCCCACAAGGTAGGTGGGAGTGAAGGATGGCCACACCTCCATTCACCAAAAGGGTGTGAGATATAAGAATAATATCACACCTTTCCGTTGTTGTTGTTGTTATATGCCATCGAGTCAGATCCAACTCATAGCGACCCCTGCTTGGGTTTCCAAGGCAGTATCACTACGGAAGTAGATTGCCCCATCTTCCTTTCGAGGTGTGGCTGGTGGGTTTGAACCACCAGCCTTCTGGTTAGCAGTCAAGTGCCTTAGGCACTATGCTACCAGAGCTTCCAAAGTCCTACCAAGACCCATCAAATGACTATCACTTATACCTTTCCCTCATTTACTTAGAGGCACCTTATAATAAGAAATAGTTGGTAGAAGAAAAATATTACTAAATACATATTTTCTATACCAAGCATTTTAAATATATTTTTGTTAAATTTATTTTGACAGATAGAATGCAACTTCAAATTATTCTATTTATAGGAAACACTGCCATTTAATATAATTGGCAGGGTCCATCCTCATTCTCAAATCAATCAATCAAATATGATTTACTTTCTCTTGGAAAAAGTCTGAATTCATTTTAAATCCAAATAAACATATTAATAAATGTTCCCTTGACAGCCATCTCACTTCTGAATTTAAAATATTTCAGCAAGCTCCCAAATACCCTGTTTCTAACAGACACTTTATTCTTAACATAAAATATATATGATGGGGAAAGATATGAAGCCCTAAGGTGGATTTATGATGCCTTGATTAAAAGATGCTTAGATTCCACAATATTTCAAATAATCTCTTTGTAGCCCCAGAAATTGTTATCCTCCATGACAGTGCACCACTGTACATTCTATTAGGGTGAGAGATATGCCTTTCAAAAAAAAAAGAGTGAAGTAGAAGAATGGCTATTGGACAAGGAAAGTGGTCAGGAGAATTCAATTGGGAAAGTAAATTATCAAGCTTAGGAAAGAGTGTATGTGGAATCTGAGACTCTGGAAATTAATCCCTTGAAAATATCCACACCATATGCTCCTAAGAAAGTCTTTCACCACCACCAGGCATGTGTACTCCAGCTGAAGACTTTTTTTTTTTTTTTTTAAAGCAAAGGCATCAGAGAAGCCATGCTCATTTATTTTCCTTGAGAATAATGTGCAACCCTGTGTTAAGTTTAGGACTTGCTCCTTCTTTTCTTCTTCCTCATCTCAAACTTTGCACACGTTTGTTTCTCACAGAGATCATCCTAGGTGGGGAGCTGCCAACACAGCCTTAGCAAGATGGCTTCCTCCAGTCTATGAAGATGGAATCAGTCAGCCCAAAGGCTGGAATCATAACTTCTTATACAATGGGTTCCCACTGCCTCTGGTTTGTACATGAGGATGCTACTTAAGTTACATTGAAATTACTTTTCCATAATGCTAACAAACCTCCCATAATTCTTGAAGAAAGTAACATTTTACTAAGATTTTGCTCAATGTGCCAAACACTGGACCAAATGCTTTATATAATTTCCTTTGATCCTCACAACATTGCTACAAGGTAGGTAACCACTCTCTCTAATTACAGCTTAGCAACTGAAGCTCCTGAAAATTAAAGTCACTCAACTAATGAGTGTAACAGTGTACATTTAAATTAAGATTCATCAAACTCTAATTTCTCTGCTCTCTTCAATTACTTCAGTGTTTTATTTATTTAGTTTTTTAATTCTTTATTCATTAGGTAGAGCACTAGGTACATTCAAAGGTATTGATCAGTTAATTAATTCACTCATTTATGAAAAGATGATGATTATGCCTTTATTTCCAGAGAAGAATTTGTTTACTAAACAGATTCATACATAACCGGGTCAATTTGGTTAAACATTTTGCCTCCAATTGACTTACATATTTCAATAAATAAACTAGTTATGGCATATTATGCAGTTCCATGTTTTTCCTTAGAATATTTTCAATAACAGATTTTTTTAAAAGAATTATAATAGTTGACGTTCTGTTTAGCCCAAAAGAAGGTCAGTATTAGAAATTAAGATCTGTTCAGATCAACTGTGAAATGATACACTATCACAAAATTCTCTTGCATATAAAATTTTAATTTAATTTTTCTAGATGACTATTTAGTAAGAATGCCAATGATCATGAAGATGGCAAAGAAGCAAGTAACACGTAATTTTATTCTGTTAGTAATCGTACTCTTAGAAATGTTTTTTGCTGTTAGACTCAATAGTAACTAATAACAATATTTAGAGAGAGGATAGAGTGTTCTCAGAAGCTAGAAAGAACAAGTGGAGAGGGTTGAATGATGTGAGACACTGAGAAAGTTCATTGCTCTCAGAAGCAAAGGACCAAGTACATATGTTTCTTGTTCCACATTTAACTTTCTGCAAATCACTTAACCTCCTTAGCCTCATTTGGGTTATCTATATAATGGGGTAATAATATCTTACCTGTTTTGTGCTAGACACTGGGTCAGTTGGCTGAGGTGTTTTTAACTCTTAGTATTATGAGATTAAGATTAATGAACCCATATCTGTTCAGAATTATATAATTATTTAGAAAAATCAGAATTTAAGAAATCTTTGAAGGTAGACTGTATTAGTTTCCTATTGCCACTGTAACAAATTATCACACACTTAGGGGCTTAAAACAACACAAATATATTAAATTACAGTTCTGTAGGTCAGAAGTTTGATCTGGGTCTCTCTAGCATAAATTTAAGGGATCAGCAAATCTGTATTGCCTTCTGTGAGCTCTCAGGGAGGAAACTCTATGTCCTTGCCTTTTCCACTTGCCACACTCCTTGGCTCCTGGCCTCTCCCATCCTTAAAGCCAGTAACCTTTCATCTTTCTTTGTCTTTCTTCTACAGTCACATCTCACTCTAACCACAGCCAGGAAAGTTTTTCAGATATTAAAGACCCAGGTGGAACCCTGGATAGTCCAGGGTGATTTCCCCACCCCAGCATCCTTAACTTAATCACATATGTAAAGTCCTTTTTTCTATGTGGGGTAGTATATTTCTAGGTTCCAAGGATTCAAGGGTAGACATATTAAGTGGAGTCGGGGAATTATTCCACTGACCACAATCCACTATCTAGTCCTCAAAAATTTACATATGTCCCACATCCAAACTGCATTCACCCCATCTCAAGGTCTCCAACAGTATCAATCCATTACATCATTAACTTGAAGTCCAAAATTTCATGTAAATCTCATCAACTCAAAATTCCCTAAGAGTAGAAGCAAGCTATCTGTATCCAAAACACAATGGTTGGGCAGATGTAGGATAATAGGTTAAAGCTATCAACATCCTATACCAAAAAAGGTTAAAAATTGAAAAATGGGAAAAAAAAAGTGGAAGGGAAAAAGAAGTTAGTGGTCCCTATCAATTTCAAAATCAATCTGTGCAAACTCCATTAGGTTTCAAGGCCAAGAGACAATCCCCCTTTGCTCAAGCCTTATGGCTCTAAGGCATGCACTCTATCATAATCTATCATATTACTATTAAACTACTTTATTTTATCCTACACTTGAAAAATCAGCCTTTTCACATACATTTACAGAAGAGCAAATTAAGGCTTACAGAAGTTAAATTCTAAAATTACAGTGAAATGGCATGACAGTGATTCAAACCCAGGTGTGTCTATCTTCAAGGCTCACTCTCTTTCCACTGTAATCACAAGGAATGGATCTTCTATGAGTTTGTCAAGATTTCTGTGAACAAGAATACCACCACGAAATTTATTATCCCAAATTGTTATTTTTCTGCTGAAAATATGGCTTTCCAATATCGTGATAAACTGATTTTCTCTTACCCAGGTTCGGGAAGTGACAAGACAAGTTATTCAAGTTTCAAATGAGGCTGTTACAGAAGATGACCAATATTCTGATCTTCTTATGGTGTGGGGACAATATATTGATCATGACATTGCATTCACACCTCAAAGTACCAGTAAAGCTGCATTTTGGGGAGGAATTGATTGCCAGCTGACATGTGAAAACCAAAACCCATGTTTTCCCATACAGGTAGAAATTTTTTAACTCTTTTTTTCATATTTTTATTATAAAGTGATTGAATACCATTGTAAAAATTCAAACCACAAAGAAAATTATAAAATGAAAAATCAATATCTCCTTCTATTGCTCCTTTTGTGGGGAGTTTATGAAATTCTTATGCATCCCCACAGAAACAATCTATGAATTTATGTATATGTAATAAATGCATATGTGTTTGAATATGCTGTTTTTCTACAGCTGTTGTATCATATAGTATATATATCACTCTGGGCCTTATATATGTCATTTAATAATAGTTAATATATTTCTCAACATATAATTAGATGGACAGATATTTGACTGTTTTATGATGTCATAATATTTTGTTGTGTGGAACAAGTTATATTCTGTTGCTACTTACTTAACCAATTCCTTGATTCGTAAACATTCCAATGTTTTTAGCTTTGTTGTGTTATACTGTCACAAACAATGAGGCAAAATATATATTTAGACATAAATATCTGTGCACATGGGTATACCTAAAGGAGACATTGCTAGGAATAAAATTGCCATGTCAGAAAGTATGAGCATTTAATTTTGATAGATATTGAAAAATAGGTCTCCATTGAGACTCTAATTTCCACTCTTACCAGCAACAAATGAAGCAATACAGGTAGAAATTTTAATTACTTCTCCTTAGAAACAGCTTTCAACTTGGTAACGGAATTTTTCTACCTAAAAAGCAAAGATTGTTTGGGGTTCATGTACTCACTAATATTCATTCAATAAACCTTCACTTATTTTGTAACAAGCTATTCTGTGCTAAGGACACAAAAAATGAAAGACACAGGCTCAACTCTGGAAGACCTTCTCCTAGTAAATGAACCAGAAAAGTGAACTAACAATTACAATGCTTGAGAGTAATATCTGTATAGGAGGCCACAACTGGCAAGACAGCCATACAAAATATACCAAAAAGAGGAATTGTGAGGAAGCAGGAAAAATAGTACTGTAAAGCCTACAACAAACCATAGTAAATTGAGTTGCAACCATCTACAGTCATGTGCAAACCATCTTTTTATCAAGCATCCTTAGAGTTGTCCCAGCTGAATACGCCTCCAGCCCTGATGTTCATTCTCAGTCACCCTCAGAGCCCAGAGGTCTTAGGAGCTCTGATGGCCTAGTGCCTAAGGCATTTGACTGCTAATCAGAAGGTTGGTGATTGAAAACCCCCAGCCACCCGTGGTAGGGAACCTGGGCAATCTCCTTCTGTGAAGATTTACCACCTTGGAAACCCAAACGGGGTCTCTTTGAGTTGGAATCAACTCAACGGCAGTGAGTTTGGGTTTTGGTTTGGTGCCGTCCTCACAATCGTTGCTCTGCTTGAGCATTGTGTCAGTGCATCTCATTGAGGGCCTTCCTCTTTTTCTCTGGCTCTTCACTTTACCAAGCATGTTATGCATCTCCAGGGAATGATCCCTTCTGACCACATGACCAAAGAAGGTGAGATGAAATCTGACCATTCTCACTAAGGTGTTCTGGCTGCACTTCTTCCCAGGATATATTTGTTCATTCTTCTGGCAGCCCATGGTATTTTCAATATTCTTAGCCAACACCACAATTCAAAGGCATCAATTCTTTGATCTTTCTGACTCACTGTCCAGCTTTCACCTGCATATGAGGTGATTTAAAATACCATGGCTTGGGTTAGGCACACCTTGGTCTTTGAAGTGACATCTTTGCTCTTCATCACTTTAAAGAGTTCTTTCACAGCAGATTTTCACAGTGCAATATGACCTCTGATTTCATGACTGCTGCTTCCATGGGGCTGATTGTGGATCCAAGTAAAATTAAATCATTGACAACTTCAATATTTTCTTGATTTTTGTTACTTATTGATCCAGTTGTGAGGATTTTTGTTTTCTTTATGTTGAGGTGTAATTCATGTTGAAGACTGTAGTCTTTGATCTTCACAAGTAAGTGCTTCAAGTCCTCTTCACTTTCATCAAGGAAACTTGTGTCATCTGCATATCACAGGTTCTTAATGAGTCTTTGTCCAATCCTGATTCCACATTCTTCTTTGTATAGTCCAGTTTCTGGGATTATTTGCTTAGCATACAGTTTGAATAAATGTGATGAAAGAATATAACCTTGACACATGCTATTCCTGATTTTAAATCATGCACTACTCCCTTGTATTATTTGAACAACAGCCTCTTGGACTATGTATGGGTTCTTCATGAGCAAAATTAAGTGTTCAGGAATTCTCATTCCTCATTATGTTATCCACAATTTGTTTTGATCCACATAGTTGCCTTTACAATAAACAATAAAACATAAATAGACATCTTTCTGGTGCTCTTTTAGCTAAGATCTTTCTGATCAGCAGTGATATATTTTGTTCCTCCTCCTCCTCTTCTGAATCTAGTTTGCATTTCTAGAAGTTTCCTGTCAATATACTGCTGCAAGCATTTTTTAATTATCTTCACCAAAATTTTACTGTGTGTGCTATCAATGATACTGTTCCATATTTTCCACCTTCTTTTGGATCACTTTTCTTTGGATTAAGCACAAATATGGATCTCTTCCAGTCAGTTGGCCAGGTAGCTGTCTTCCAAATTTCCTTGAATAGATAAGAAAGTGCTTCCAGAGCTGCTTCCATTTGTTGAAACATCTCAATGGGTATTCCATCAATTCCTGAAGCATTGTTTTTTGCCAGTTTGTTCAGTGCAGCTTGGACTTCTTCCTTCAATACAATTGGTTATTGATCATATGCTACCCCATTAAATGACTGTACAGTGACCAATTCTTTTTGGTATAGTGACTCTATACCATCTTCAATACTTCCTGCATTGTTCAATATTTTGCCCATAGACTCCTTCAATATTATAACTTGAAGCTTGAAATTTTTCTTCAGTTCTTTCAGCTTGAGAAATGCCAAGCATATTTTTCACCACTGGTTTTCTAATTACAGATCTTTGCACATTTCATTATAATACTTCACTTTGTCTTCTTGAGCCACCCTTTGAAATATTCTGTTTATTCTGTTAAGCTTTTATTTCAACATCTCTTCCTTTCAATTTAGCTACTTTCTATTCAAGAGCAAGTTTCAGAGTCTCTTGTGATGTCCATTTTGGTCTTTTCTTCCTTTCCTGTCCTTTAAATGACCTTCTACAGATGTACTCGATTTGATTTCTGTGTGATCCATCTGGTGAAGTCCACCTGTATAGCGCCTTTTATGTTGTTGACAAAAGATACTTGCAATGAATAAGATGTTGTTCTTGCAAAATTCTATCACGTGATTACCAGCATTATTTCTATCACCAAGGCCATATTTTCCAACGACTGATGTTTTGCCTTTGTTTCCAACTTTTTCATTCCTATCACCAGCAATAAGCAGTACATTTTTTTTTCTTTTGTTTTTATTAGGATTTGGGTGAAGATTTACAGAGTAAATTCACTTTTCATACAGCAGTTCACATATACTTTGTCTCATGTC